CAATCACGACAATGTTGATGTGAATCTTTTCCTTGCCCATCTTGTTTTATACGAGCTAGCGGTTTGATTGAATAGTGGGTTCACAGCGTGCAGTAGGTTTATGGTTGGAAGTGTGTGTAGTGTACAGGTCCACAGGTACAATCAGCAATCGGGGGGAAGAAATGGAAGGGTAAATAAAATTTGTTAGTTAAAAACAATTAACATAGGTCGGCCATAAGTATTAGTAAATCGAGTATAGACAAATTCTAATCATTATCATATTTTGCCAACGCGGTCATAAAATTCAACTTTGGTTTCATATGCCAGCGCAGTTCGACCTAACCTCAAAACGAAACGTGTTTGCGTTCGCATTTGCTATACACTGGCATCGGCGAGCGCACATTGCTTTGAGGTTAGGTTTAGCCGCAGCCGCATGTCTCGGTGGTGGAAGTGTATGTATGTGTGTGTAACAAAGGCACAAAACGAAACTGGCAACAAAAGGGAACGTGCAAAGAAAAATTATCATTAAAAAAAATCTTAATTTGGAACTACATTATTACTCGATTTTTGTCAGTGAATTTGGTATTTTTGCTATCCTCATTATTATTCAGTAGCAGAACTTAGGCAATTTCTCATCATATAAAAATCGAGATAATTAGATCTTAATTAAATGAATTTCAATATGTATGTTTGTACATACACATATACAAGCATACAATTTGAATACATGTGTGCAAAGAAAATTCCAGCAAATCTAATCTATCCATGTGGTTGTGTGTGAGTGCGTGACGCTGTTGCCGGCCGCTTCATCGGCACAAGAGAGCAAGTGAGAAAGTAAAATAAAATGGCGACCAAGCCAATGATTCGAACAAAGTAGACGATCTGCCAGTGGTTGGCAGAGCGATTGGGAACGATCGAAAAATGCATGTATTGCATGCCGTCGCCGGCCATCTTTGACTAGAAGTTCATGCGAAGACAACAAATTTTCCAATGTGTTGAAATTTTGGCAATTATACAATTTCGCAATATAGAATGAATTCGCATACAATGGCTGTTCGCTTGTGGTAGTATCGCTTGACTTTTGTATTGTGTGGCAGCAAGCACTTTCTGATTAGTCAGTCACACCATCGGCTTGTGAGCCGCCATCTTGAAATTCTATGCGTTCATACGTATAGAGAAAGGCGGAAAATTTTGCGCATGCAAAAAAAGACACGCTTGGCATGACGAAATTTTTAACAACTTTTTTATTAAGATTGCAAACACTTGAAGATGCGTATTGGCAATTTTAGATGTTGCATTCATACAAGTTGTTTTCTGATCGAATTTATGAAGCAAACTATTCACATGTGCCACGCACATGTGGGCGTGGCATCACTGACACCAATTACACCATATTGCAAAAATACGAAGTGACTCATTTGAGCAAATAAACTCCATAAACAAAATATAGTTATGGTAAAATTTCCATTGCTAGCTGCTTGCCACGTGTTTGCGCTTCAGTCATCGTCACCACCTTTCACTTTGCTTCCCCTTAGAGGTTAACTGTCGGTGCTCACACACGCATCCACATGTTATCAAATATGCAGATTTGTTAAAGTCCAATTGCATATTTGTTTATAAATTGATTTTTAAATACACTCAGCTGGTTTATTGCACACATATATTTGTGATTTAAACAGGTATGCACTCAAATTTCTTTTTTCACTTGGCAACAGAACTTACTCTCGAATAAATTGAATGAGAAATCACAAAGTCTATGCTATTCCGGCGACAGACT